AAAAACAACGGCACACATCGCAGGCTACGAGTTGTACGCCTGTGAGGCAGTATATATGTGTGGACGCGTGCGCTGCGCTGGCAGGCAATCGAAAGCTTTTAGTTCGATGGGTTGACTCACACACACGCACACGCATGAAGCTGGCACAGGAGGCACTATTGGCTGCCTTGAGAGGGTGACGGCGGGACACGATGCTTCAATCAAATTTGTTTCATCCTATTTAAAGCCTCTGAAGCGAACGCGCCTGGGTGCGTAACTCTGCTGCCAGCTGGTGTCCCTCATGCGTCAAGCTAACAAACTTTTTTTTGCCGCTTTTTCTGTCTCGCTCGTGTGTGTGTCTGCATGTCGCACTTACCTTCATTGAGATGACCAATTGGATTTTCTCGGCTTGCGAAGCCATTCCAGCGTGAAACGATCCGGTCGGAATAAAGAGCAAAAATCCACCGGGACCTACGCTGCACAGCTCCGCATCATGGATGTCTATAAGGAGCTTGCGCGAAATGAAACAAAATAAAAAGAAAAGGAACAAAATAAAAGCAGTACAAAACGCGGCAAGCGGCTTACAGCATCGTGTTTCATTATTAAAAGAAATGCCCGGGCGTTTAATCGCCAATGAAATAAAGCTCGACCGCACATACATGGGCCAGGCGTGCTGCTGCCGCGCTGCGTGCGTGGGTGCGTGGCGCTTATGCAATTTAAACGTCACTTTGTCAAAGTCTCGGGGCTGAATAAATACCGGCCAGTACGTGTATAAGGTGTACATGGGAGCGCGTCGCGCACAATGCATCGCAAAAAGTCGCTCTTTTCCATACCACAAAAATTCCCTCATCATGGCGAGCATAAAAAATGTATATTTTTTCCGTTGACTGCGATGGTCTCGTGTGTAGCTATTCCAGGGAGAGAGCCTCGTGGTTATTCATTTCGGCATCGGTGCAAGTAGGTATATACGTGTACACTTGCGATTATGCGGCATAAAAAAAAACTCATCAAATTTCGAGCAAATCATTCGGACGGTATACGCAGCAGCATGATATCTAGTCGTACACGCACTATGTGCGCCGTATAACTTCGCCACTCGATGTGAGTCGTTGCTGCTGCTCCTGCTCGTGCCACTATGTATACCTGTTCATGGTTGAAAGCGCACGAGGCAGCGGCGGCATCAGCCTTTCAACGTATTCACGTCAACAAGTCAAAAAAATTTTAATTAAAAAACTTTTTTTTTCAGGTTCACCGTGTTCCTCTTGGGGTGGAGTGCCGCACACGTCCATGCACGCACGCGTTCGAGCGTCGTATAATAAGAGCGGCCGCAACCCAGGCTGCTCCTCGCCGATGCCCATTATAATTTGAATACTGCATTATGCAGCGTGTCCCATGCATGCTTTTCGCCACTCCTATACACGTATGTGCAATATTTATATTAATACGTTGGTTACTTGAAAGGAAAGGGATTGAGTCGAGAAATAATAAAGAGCCAGTGTGTTATAGCTTATGATACATAATTTTTAATTTGTCGTCTTTGATCACCTTTTTACTTATTTTCATTTACTCTTCTTTTTTTTTTCTCTCTCTTTATCCGGAGCTCGTTTATCATTGTCCTCATCATAGTCTTCTTCGAACAATATATATCTATATAATCGCAGCTGCACGCGTATAATACGCGTACATCACAATAAATTCACACACAGACTCGAGGCAGACACGCACATATACAGTCTAGACGTATACCAATATACTTATGCTCGACGCTGTTGCTGTTTCTTTCTCTCTTTTCCAAACGTTCACGCAACGGGCTCATCGATCTTACTCATGGTACACTGAGTAAACGCACACGCACAAGCGTATATATTACATACTCACACACAGACGCACACACGCAGAATACATAGATATATACAGTGGGCATGGTGCACACACAACGAACGCGCATGAACGATAGCAAAGTACGCGCGACACACAATTTAGAACGCATCATCCATTTTCATCTTCCGAAGCTCGCCTATGCACACAGCATAGCTGCGTATGTGTATGCATGGAATGTGAAGTCTGTAACGCACTACACTCTAGCCGCACACGCGTACCTATATGCGGATCGAATGTGTCCGTGCGTGCTTTTCGGGCTATATGAGGCATTTCATGCGAAGTGTCCTAGCGCTTCGCCGCGCGGCCCAATTAAGCGAAATCACTCAGTTTCTAACTCACGTAAAAAGTATCAAAATATACTCAGAAAAAATAACTAACCAATGATTTCGATAGAAAATTTCCTCAGCTTTCCGATGGTGTGGTCAGATTTTCCGAAATTTTCCATTTTCCCCGGAAAAATTTGACATAAAGTTTAAAACGCAAATATCTCAAAAAGCCCATTTTTAAGATTTTTTTAAATAGTCCCAATCGAAAGCTGAGGAAATTTCCTAACTGTATGCAAGTTTTCAGAGTGTGCAATTGATTATTACTCAATGAAATACAGCGACGAACGTGTAAAAACGTGAGATTTTGCGACGCGCGGGGTACTGCGCGCGGGAACAGCTGCCGCACGGGCCGAAATGTCACGTTTTTACACGTTCCTCGCTGTATTTCATTGAGTAATAATCAATTGCACACTCTGAAAACTTGCATACAGTTAGGAAATTTCCTCAGCTTTCGATTGGGACTATTTAAAAAAATCTTAAAAATGGGCTTTTTGAGATATTTGCGTTTTAAACTTTATGTCAAATTTTTCCGGGGAAAATGGAAAATTTTGGAAAATCTGACCACACCATCGGAAAGCTGAGGAAATTTCCTATCGAAATCATTAGTTAGTTATTTTTTCTGAGTATATTTTGATACTTTTTACGTGAGTTAGAAACTGAGTGATTTCGCTTAATTGGGCCGCGCGGCGAAGCGCTAGGACACTTCGCATGAAATGCCTCATATGCGGATTCGCGAGCCAATTGCCATTACGAACAATCCGGCCGGGCCGAATCGAATGATTCTCTCGTTTCGCGTTTATCAGGCGGCCTATGCTGCTGCAGCTACTACCTTATACATGTATGTATATCGTGCCAAGCACAGTCGACGACGATTACTGTCACTGCTGCTTTTCAATGCTAATGAGAAGTGAGTGAGGGACAGCTGCAGCTCCGGCGCAATCCTCTCTCCTCATCCTCCGTTCTCCCTTTTATAGCTAGCTGCTGCACACGCACACACACATACTATACCCTCCGTATGCGCCACGTGCATACACCCGCACCCACCACGCGAATGTTGAACACGCGCGAACGCCTATATCGATCGCGTATTCTGCCAATTGAAATCTATATCACGAGGTATCTCTGTACACGTATAGGATAGTATACACATATACGCACGCAGGACTCGATCGGCCTGTAAATGCCAGCTTTCCAGTTGCCAGAGAGAGAGAGAGAGAGAGAGAGGACGACGGGGGGAGAAGAATAAATTCGATTGACCGATTTATATCATGCAAATTTTACGGGTTTCTCTTTTTTCCGCTCTCTTTTTTTTGTACACTCGGTGCATCGTGTATTGTGCATTATACCGACATCGCCTTATATCGATTTTCCGGGACTTATCAAATAGAACGTAAAATACGTGCTTTTAGCACGTTCGCGCGCATATATGTATGCATGTAACTGCGGTGCTTTACCTTGTGTATCTATACGATTAAAGTCAATTTTCGCTTCGTAAACAAACAGCTGAGCGGCATCGCGGGAATCACACACTCGCTCTCTATACGCCTGCTTGTAGATGTTTTCCTCGATCTAGCAAGAGCTAACGCCCTTAAATATGCGCTCCTGGTGTATACGTGTTCTGATACTGTGTGTGTGTGTGTGTGTGTGTGTGTGTGTGTGTGTGTGTGTGTGTGTGTGTGTGTGTGTGTGTGTGTGTGTGTGTGTGTGTGTGTGTTTGCACCGTACACGAACCCGAAGATAAAAATATATATATATGTATATTGGAAAATCTGGCGCACGAGCTGATGTTTGCCATCCATATTTCCCTAGAAATTAGATTTAGAACGATTTCGACCTCTCGCCGCATTGAATTATGAACGCAAAGTAAATTTTCTTACATACATGACCTACTTTAACATTCATTCGTTCGCACACACAAATTCACGTGTATCTGTTGCATATACACATTGCACGCGCACAAGCTCGTTCAGAACCCGTGCGCGCCGCTGAATTATGCCCCCTTTTTTTGCACTTCTCTTACACGCGGGTGCTTGAAATTTTCATATTTTTTTCCGCCTTTTTCGTTTCGTTATTTAATCGTTTCTGTAAATATAATTATATATTATATATACATGCCGAAGCGAGTTTCGTGCCTATTTAATTTTATATACACAACATTAAAAATCGTAACGTCCTTCGAGACCATTAACCGGGTTTTTCGTATTTCATGAAAAGACCATTCGAGTTTTTGATTTTATTTTTTTAATATGTATACAGAAACACTTTGTTAATCAAACGGGAATCTACTTCCTTTTAACCGTTTGTTTTCTAAAAAATCACAGAATAAATTCTAATTTGCTTGAACGTATATGAAACGTAGAACGAATTTTTTATTGCGCTTTTGTTCTTTGTAAATCTAACCGCGTCGAATGATTGAGAATTGAGAGTTTATAACATGCTCGAGAGATTGCATTTTTTACGAAAATGATTTTTTCCGCACGAGCAAAGAAGAATTTCGGAAAAATAAAGAAACACATTTCCTTCTCTTGGATCTAGAGGAAAAATAAAAGAAAGAGAAAGGAAATTTTGCTTCAAGCTGAAAATGCATTTTTTAGCATAAGAGAATCGTATTATTCATTTCTTAATAGAAAGTTTACTTATTTCGAGTGCACAAAGCAATTATTAAAACTGTAATGGAGAGTACAATTTTTACATTTTGCGTTATAATAATTTGCAGTTTAATTTTTATCGTTCAAAAAAAAAAAAAAGAAAGAAAAAAATTAAAAAAGCTCATGAACGCAGGAGTAAAAAGGTTGTCTTACAAGAGGAAATATTCTGAAAAATTGCAGAAATATAGCCTGTTACTTTTCCTTAACACGGAGGTATTCGATATTAAAAATGTTCGTTGCATTTTATTCATCAACTTGCGCGCATTACCATAACAGTACTGATTATTATTATTGAATATTGAAGAATTTGTTTACCTGTTTGTTGTAATAACGTCGAGGAACAAGTGTATTTTTACAGGTAATTTTCAATTTTTGCTACTTATTAACATAACATCATTGTACTGAGTGATAAAAAATTCCTCTCCTATTAGGTAAATGGATTTGATTATTAAAATGAATTATAGCTCTTTTATCACGTTCCGATGGTGTAACCTTGGATTTATGCACGATCGTATTGTACCACACTGTTCCCAATTTAAGTATAACCCACATTCCATTAGGCTTTTTTCTTTGAGTTTAAAATCTGACTCGTGATCAATAAACTTTTTTTTTCGTTATCAATGTAATGTACAACGTATTGCCACTCGACAATGACGCATTGTAAAAGAATAATTAGAGAGGCAGGCAAAAAGTAAAATCTTTACCTAGGTATCCTGTTATTTTCCGATTTCGTTTTGTTTTTATTTTTGTCGACACACACTGTACCTTTGTCATATTTTACATGTAGTATTTACAAAATTATTCGTCGTTCTACGATTTATTATTATTTTAAAAATTGTCGGTTAAAGTGAGTTTGACATCGATTAAACATATAATATATTTTGTATTTTATAAAATGGATGATTCATTAAATTTTGAAAATGTATACATTTAATATATCGATGTCACAATTCGGAATCAACATTCGGCCTTTGTAATAAAACACCACAAAGTCCCATAAATACTTTTATTTATTCAGCAATCAAACAATCACGTTACTCTAACGTTATAAAATTTTTTTTTTTCTTCGACACAATAATGCAATACTTATCTTTTTGTAAATCTAAAACAGTGAAACGGAAAAATAAATACAAGATATACACACTCGCATCCCAGCGACGTGGAGAGCCATACAATAAAATTTATGGAAATGCGAAACAATTTAAGACGTAGTCGAATAAAAAACAGACAATAAACGCGATTTACACACTCGCTCACAAAGTACGGGTAACTTTGCAATGCACAACATGAACGAAAAAAAACGGTTGCTTATACATACACGTGATCGAATCGCGAGTAACTATTTTTTTTCTCGGAATTCTGTCAAGTGTATATGCATAATATATTTTTTCCTCCGTTAATCGAGGACTATACATAGAGACGCTGCTGCACTGTATACACACACACACACACACACACACACAACATCCTCGCGCACACTCGTCTACGGAAACTTCAATTCCGCCACACTCAAGATATATTGCCACACACGTCAACGTATACTGAAAGTCGCGCACGTATAATCATACGTACTTATCGCCGAACTTATGTAATATTAAACATTATTATTTATAAATATATAGATCGATACGGAGAATCAAAGATTATTGAACATTTTCCAGCCGAGAAAAAGTCTTTTATTTTCATCCTACCAGCAATTTCGCATATTTATCCAAGCCCGTCGACAAAAATTTTTGCTCGCTGCTAAGCTCGCTGCAGGCGTGGCTGTATTACCTATACATACGCACGCACGTATAGAGCGCAAGATGTGCCGCCACTTCTGACACTGTGCTATACAGCATATAAACCACGTTATATATATATTTTCCTCGCGCTGCATTTATCCTCTTGTGCCGCAAGTTCTCTTGTTATTCTTGTTCTTGGCGCATAGTTGCTCTGCGGCATGCGGCGGCGGTCACATTTTGAATTCGCGCACTGCAGCGCTACTTCAATTTTGCACGTCGGCTGTGTACCTATATATAACGTCGTGCGCATTCGATGAGGAAATAAAAAAGGTGCGTCGTCACTGTCAGTTTATCCGTATAGACACACACACACACATATACACTGTCGGGGAGACGCAGAGAGGCGCACGCACACAGACACTGGCGTGCTGTATACTTTGTATGCATGTAACCCACAGATTCGACAGCCGATTCCGTTGGATCGATCTGAAAATACAAAAAAAAAACGTTATCGTTCTGCATATACAGCTGAAATTGTATTTTAAAATTTTTATAGCATTGATAAAAGACGAGTTCGAAAATTTGAATAGGACGGACGTTGGCACTGTAAAAGCATGTCACGCGCAGAGAGCTGCTTTGCGCGCCAAATCGGAGTGAGTGACGACGACGACTCGGCGTCAGTCGACGCTTCCGCAAGGGTAGCGGGGTAAGGGAGGGGGGAGAGGAATCCTACGCAGGCAGGGCTACCTATCTGCGAATTGCGAAACATTGTTATAACGTTCGGAATGTGTTTTGATTGCGTTTGTTGACTTTAACCAACTGCCCAAGGGCGTTTGGCGCTTTTTCCAACCTACACTCCCCACATTGCATTGCAACATTTAATTAAGCATTGTAATGTTCTCTTTTTCTTTGTGATTCAGAGATTTTATTAGTTTCAGAGTGTGCGCAGATTTCGACTACTTCTCAGTTGGATAGTGTTATGTGACCAACAATAGGTGCCGGCAATGTGAGACTCGCGATCACATCTATTCGAATCGAACAGTGTTTTGAAAGAAGCCGTCAACCAGGGTTCATGAGTGATCTTCTCGAATTGAAGTGTGATGTGAAAAAGACGTTGAATTTTAGTGCTTGTGAGTATAGTGATCTATTATATCTGTTCGAATCGAACGGTTGAGTGAAAAAAGACGTTAACAATTGTGCTCGTGAGTGATGTGCTTGATCGTTGAAAAAAACTACATTAAGGATCAATCTAAAGTTGCGGGGCTTTGAAGCTTCGATCTGGTTAGTAATTTCGGAGTTTAATTTTTTTCTGCCTCATTGAAATGTTAATAGAGCATAAGAGCAAAATTCATCAAGCTTGGGTGCGTGTGTGGGCGTGAAAAATTGTTTTAAAACGACGGACGCACGAGCATAACAGCGGCAGCAGCAGTACCACGTACATATCCGCAACGTGTTGCCTCGTTTTCTCTAATAGGTTTTATTAAACGCGGCCTGCACACTTGATGCCGTCCTATATATGAAAATTATACGTACAAAACCGTGGCCATACCCCCTTGTACCCACTATAAGCGGCAGTAGCAGCCCCACAATACATCGCACATGCGGCTACATATCAAACACACTTGTATATGCATTAATGCATAATGTACATGGTTCAGCCCTTTTTTTCGACCAAAGTGTGGCCCGTTTTTTGCGAGTGAAAAAATTCGGAACAGCCGCGCAAATTTGCTGCGGAATTACTACTGCTGATGCTGCTGCGGCAGAAAAAGACAAGTAGTACAGCTTTGATGCGATACAAATATGAATGATTTTTCAGCGCTAGCACTTGTCTCAAAAAAAAAATTTACTTCAAAGTAGTTCAGACTGACGTCTTTTTCTTTGCCAAGTCGCTATTTACGTGTAAAGTCGAAAAACATACCATTTTTGATGAAATTTTAGTACCGTACCCTAGAAAACTAATCAAACGAAAAACAAAAAAGTGCTATAATACTTTTGTTATAAGTATTCGCATTGAATGAGAGGTTGAGAAAGCCATATAATAGAGCTTCTCTTCTTGCCTGTGTCATAAGTCAAAAGAATCTTTTCTTTGAATTCGTGACATCTTACGAATAAAACTGCTGTTGTTGCTTCTGCCGGTGCTTCTGCGGGTACCAGTCAAGTTTTCCATCGACACGACGCTCTCGGGGCCGGGGCAGTCCTCTTTCGCCGCGGAAAAACAGCTTAGAGCTCGTTTTACGCATATTTTTTTTGCTCTTGCTTTTTCAATTTTAATTTGCATGATTATTATTTTCGATAATTATATTTAGCAACACATAAAGTAGCGCATCAAATTTCTCTTTGATCTCGCGCGCCGTAGAGCTCCCCCGATGCTATTATAATATCAAATTTTCCTCGAGTATATACTAACGTGATTAAAGACGGTGTCAAATGGTACGAAAATCGTGTGGCTTTTTTTTCTCGTCGCAGCTTCAAATGCATAAGCGTTAAAATAGCCACGCGCATTTTTCGAATAATATACGATATTCGAACGGCAAAAATATTTTTTAAACAAGCGCCGACTCAGCGAAATTTCTACAAGAGACTCTCTTGTGAGAGATCGTTAAAATTGCTCCCAAAAAAATGCTTTCTCATGTACAATATATAATATCAAATACATTCTTATCGTAATATCGATATCTTGTCGGCGCTTGTGTACGGGTGTGTGTGTGTGTGTCAGTGTAGTCACAATATTACATCGAGTTTATCGAAGTTCAAAGGGTTTCGATTCTTGGCTTTCGGCGTTGTTATCGATCAATGCACTTGATATACTGACCGCAATAGAATTCGACGGAAAGCTTTACGCTCCATATACCAACACACATACACACTCACACATACATAGCGAGGGCATGCACACACACACACACACACACACACACATACACATTATAACACTTTGGCGCAGGCCTCGTGAACCGAAATTTGATTCGTTTTGTATGCAATTTACGTTGTATAAATATCGGATCAATTTGTTATTCGCACGAAAAACAATAGTAAAGCCAAATACAAATACGCGATCGAATCTTGTTTTGTGCAATTTTTCCTTTGTTTTCGTTACGTGATTCTGCTTCGTGCGGCGCATTTGACCGATATTTTTTGAACAATCCTTTTAACATGCGCCGATGAAAGGATGTAATTGACTTTTTAAAAATTCGACGCGCAATCGTCGACTCGTGTGTTGACCTTTCTATGGCTCATACGTGCTGCATAGCTGGGGCTAGGTAACGTAGGTAGGTACAGGCGCGCCCGAGAGTGCAGGCACATAATTCGACGAGCTCTTACGAGCTCGAGCAATAATAACAACATTTAGTCGGCTAAATTGTCAATCACGCGTGCAGAGTGGCGGCGATGCGCAACCGAGCCAACGTACGTGGCTTCTAATACGACGCCGGGCACACACAGGACTCTCGAGCGTATACATGCAGCGCGCGAGTTTGCAGAGGAGCTGGCAAAGGCGGGCCCGCATATAGCATAGCTCGTTATACACACTGCACTATAAACGATCAATCGGCCATCGGAAGAGCTCTGGGAAGCGATGAATATTCCCAAGCAGGCGTCGTACATCACCTCTGCTATGATGTCGCTACAGTTACCACTGCTGCTGCTGCTGCTGCTGCTGCATCGTTGCTCGTTCCTCTTTAATTACAGTCTGCACCGATCGCACTCGACTGCATACTCGTTATTATCATGAGCTTTTATTGTCTCGAGGTTCTCTCTCTCTCTCTCTGCATTTAAGCCTTCATTCCGGTCCTCCCACTCCTCTCGTTCGTTCTTCATTTTCTTTCCCCGCGTTTTCACGCTGTCTGTATAATCCAGGCTGAAGACCCGGAGCTTTACTAAGCGAGTCTCTGCGTGAGCTTTAGTCAAAGTTTCGTCTTGGATAAAGTCGGGTGAGCGGAAACTATACACGCGGCACACACACGCAGACGCGCGTGTTTATATAGCCCAATCCCATGTCCGGGCTGTGTACTCGGGGAGTGTTTTTGATCATTGACAAAAGAGAATTGCCTCTTACGTGCTCACGTGCATACATATATAATGCAGGCGCGAGTTGATCCACCCACCCACACACTCAGTCTCGTGGCCCGATGCCGCGTGTACGTGCTTTAAACGCAGCTCTTGGAAATACCACAAACGCTTCGGCGTAGTGCGCTTGTGGTTTCACGACGACGACGGCAACGACGACGAGAGCTTTCATCGGCGATTTTCGAAGCTCCGTACGCTGCGATCCCTCTGTACGCTGGAACAACTGAAATAAAGATATCTAACCCTTTACTTGGGCGAGTCAGGGATTAAGTTTTAAGCTCTTTGTCACGGTAGCGCCGCGTATACGCGCACTTATGAATCCCGAGTACCAAAAAATAAGCTCGATAAAAATTCGAGTCAGATTATTTTAGGTACATAGTGTACCTTCGTGTTAGTTATGCATCAATAAAGAGCCTCAAGCTCGAGCAGAGGAATTAAAATTTAAAGGTCCGAGCCCATCCATGCACGTGTAAAACATGTCCTTATCTCTATAGTATACGCCCCCGGTTATTTTCGTGCCGCGCGTGAGTTGACTCGCCAGCCCTACGCTGTCCATGTGTGTGTGCGTGTGTGTACTCACTGATCGCCTCTGCGCTTGCAGTTCATTCCATTAATAAATCCCAGATACGGGCGGGCTTTGCGTGTTTCGAGCTAATAATACAACTTATATACATTATTACATGCATCGCGCATCCGTGGATGTACGTTTACGTATGCATGTATGCGTACAAGCAGAAAGTAGGAGAGGAGCAACGCACGCCGGCCGTTTTATTTGTTCAAGCGTTTGAGCTTTCTCGCTCTCCCCTACTCTATTATGATTGTATCAATAGGACTAATTGAAATGTCCGAGCTCTCACGCGCGCTGGCGCGTAATTTGTACACTGCGTACACACGTATATAGGTATACGGAGGCGCCCCCGTGCACATGGAAACCAGATGCTGCGCAAGCCAACGCATTTTAGCTGCTTTCCATTATATACGGCGCTTCATGACCTACGACTTCAAACTTTACCTATTTGACATTCAAAGTCGTAATTATATATATGTACACGCATTTGTATAAGCTCGATGTATATAGTGACGTAGGGAATTTGTTGCGAAATTCTATTAGCATTTCAAAAAGCTCAATTGCAAACTTACGAGTGTATCATTTATTTGTTCGCGGGGGCTTCGACCTCAAGCGCGTAAAAAATTCCCTTTATAAAGAGTCACGTGCGCAGGGCGGGCAAAATATTTCCGCGTAAAGCGAGCGAAGCTCTTAACGAAGTACATTTTATTAAAGTCTAGAGCCATTTTTCGCGCGCACGAGCGTCTCTCTCACTTATTTTACTACGCTACACTGCAGCTATATGGAAAAGCCAAGAACGAGATAATTGAAATATACTACCTTTCGGAAGTGTATGTATAGGGTATATAACAGC